AAAAAAAAAAAAAAAAAAAATGATCAGGCGCAGTGGCTCACACTTGTAATCTTAGCACTCTGGGAGGCCAAGGAGGGTGGACTGCCTGAGCTCACAGGTTCAAGACCAGCCTGAGGAGAGTGAGACCTCATCTCTAAAAATAGCTGGGCATTGTGGCAGGCACCTGTAGTCCCAGATACTTGGGAGGCTGAGGCAAGAGAATCACTTAAGCCTAAGAATTGGAAGTTGCTGTGAACTGTGATGCCATAGCACTCTACTGAGGGCAACAAGTTAGACTGTCTCAAAAAAAAGAAAAAAGAAAAAAAAAGTGAATAAACGGGGCTGCTTAGAAAGGTCTGCTTCTTCCCTAATTCAATAACTCTTCAGAGTTTTTCAGATCTTGCCCTGTGCTCCCATTCTCATTGCTCCAGACTTTGCCCTAAATGCATCCAGTTTCTCATTGGCCCAGAGTAAAGAACACTGCAAGACCTGGTTTCAAATTCCTGTTTTGCCTCTAACTTGTTGCATGACCCTTGGCAGGTCTTAACTCTTCTTTAAGCCTCAGTTTCTTTACAAAATGTAGATAACACTACCTATTTTCTCTATAAAATGGATAATAATATCTATTCCTCAGCTCAGGTAAGGATTAGAAGAGGACAGCATAAAAAGTTTTGGCAAAGTCCTGTAGTTGTTCTCATCACTTCCTCCAGGGTCTGGCACATAGTGAGTTCTCAGAAATGTTTCAGAAATGAATGGAAGATGGAAGGAAAGAAAGAGGACTTGGCTCTAGCTTTGCCTCTCCTGCAAAGCTCAAAGTTCCAAACAAGTACAACTCACCTCTCCCCATTCCAGACACCCTCTTCTGCCATTATTTATTGGGTGCCTACCACATGCCAAACACTGCACTAGCCACTTCAAAGACATTATTTCATTTAATCCTCACATCAGTCCTAAGAGATGATCTGTGTTATTACTATTACCAGGAAAACGAGGCTTAGAGGGGTTGAGTGCCTTGCCTCCCATTTCAGGGTAAGAAAGAGCTGAGATTTAAACCTGGGTCTGTCTTCACCAATATGCTAAACTGATTCCCTCTTTAAATGTGGTGTGCTGGCTGAACTAGAGAGGGCCAGAGCACTATCAGCGCCATCCCCAGCTCTGGCCACTGAAGCCCATTAATGAAACCCCAGGCAGGGTAGCACGTGGCCCCAGTTGGGATAGGAAAGGGAGCAGAACTGCTATGTGACCAGGAAGGGATCCTACTCACCGGTCTGGATGAGGCCAGAGCTGCTGTCTCCGATGTCGAAGAACTGCTCGATGTCTGGAAGGACGCCTGAGAAGGACACTCTGAATGGGCCAGCGAAGCAGCTCCACCCTCGGTATCCCCTTCCTTTCTCCTAGTTATCTTTCTCCCAGAAGTCAGTACCTACCAGCCACCGTGAAGCGGTCCATGTAATTCAGTAAGTTGATGTAGCACAGCACAGCCACTATGAGAGCCGAATGGCTTGGAGACAAGCCTGTGATGCGCTGCAGCCCCTCCCGGTCCAAGACCTCAGGCTCCTTGGACTTTGGGTTCCCCATGGACCCCCCCAACCCCGGGGTGCCGGGCACCGGACGGTCATCCGGGTCATCCGCCTGGCTGAGGAAGGGTGCCGTATCGGACCCAGCCATGGTCTCGGGGGACCGCGCCCGCCTGCGCTTCGGTCCCACCGACGATCCCACCTGCAAGTGGAGGAGGATGGAGAATGGGAAAATGGAGGGAACCCAGACCAGGGAAGTTCGCCCAGGGACCGGTAGGAGCTTGCCCCGAAGCACAGAGCAGGGCTAGGAAGGGCCCCGGGCCCCGTCACGACTCCCAAAGGCTGACACACTGCGCGGAGAGATGTGTGGGATTCAGCTGACGTAGGGTACACGGGCAGGTTGAGGAGGACCCGATCTCCCATCCCTCGTCGAGGGTGCCCCTCACCCCAGGCAGGAGCCCACTGCGCTCGCTGTCACTCAGCCCCGGCACTGCACCGCGGCAGCCGCCATGTTGGCTTAGAGCTTGTCATGTGATACTGGAGCCGGAGCCCAAGCGTCCCAGCATGTAAACTCTCCACACACGTGACTGTCCGCCCAACTACGGAAGCCTTGGGCATCTCTGCAGCCTTCTGCATCACGTGACTGTAGACTGGTGGCCGGGGTAACCAGGGGACTTGGTCCCAGGATCTACAGCCCAGAAGCCCCAGCTGGCTGGACGCCGTGGCAACCCGGCTGCTAGTCCCGCGGAGACCTCAGAACCCTGACTTGATGGAGTCGCCTCTCAGTTCCTAATTTGCAAGGCCCACTTGGCGGACTCCTGGATCAAACGAGATCATGGGCGGCGCCTCTGGCTCAGGCGGCTAAGGCGCCAGCCACATACACCTAAGGTGGCAGGTTCGAATCCAGCCCGGGCCCGCCAAA